GCGCCGCTTTCCGCGGAGGATCCGCGAGACGGAGGCTGTCCGCCGCCCCGACATGGCGATCGCAAGGCAAGTGCTTTGTCTCTCTGCTTTCCTCTCCCTGCCGCACGCTCGCGCCGAGCCCATCCGCTACTCCGTAGCCGAGGAGGCGGAGAGCGGCTCCGTGGTAGCCAACGTGGCGGAGGACGCGGGGCTGGCCCCGGCGCAGCTCTCGGCTCGCCGCGCCCGCCTGGCCTCGGAGGACGGCCGGCAGCACTTTCGCTTAGACCGCGGCACCGGCCGCCTCGTAGTGGCGGAGAGGCTGGGGCGGGAGGAGCTGTGCGGGCAGGCCCGTACCTGCACGCTCCCCTTCGAGCTGCTGCTGGCAAACCCCCTGCAGTTCTTTCGGGTCGAGGTGGCCGTGGAGGACATCAATGACCATTCGCCCGTTTTCCCGGAGGAGCGAGTCACTTTTACGATCCTGGAAACGAGCAACCCGGGCTCGCGTTTCCCGCTGGAGGGGGCTCGGGACCTGGATGTTGGCAGCAACGGTGTCCAGGCTTACAGCATCGCTCCCGAGAACGAGTACTTTAGTGTCTCCTTTGGGAGTCGGAGTGAGGACGACAAGTATGTTGAACTGGTCTTGGAAAAGGCGCTGGACAGAGAGGAGCAGGCAGAGGTGGCTTTCAGTCTCATTGCCACAGATGGGGGCTCTCCGCCCAGGAGCGGGACCACCCAAATCCGCATTGTCGTTCTAGATGTCAATGACAATGCTCCGGTTTTCACACAGAAGGTGTACGTTGGGCAGGTTTTGGAAAACGCGCCAGAGGGCTCTGTGGTTCTCAGCGTGGCAGCAAGCGATCGGGATGTGGGAGTTAATGGGGACATCACCTATCAGTTCAGCCAAGCAGTGGGCCAGAGCCCCTCAGCATTCGCAATTGACCCCACGAGCGGTGAAATTAAACTCAGGAAGCCTCTGGACTTTGAGGCGGCAGAGAATCACGAGCTCAGTGTGCGGGCCACAGACGGCGGGGGCCTCTCGGCAATCTGCAAGGTGTTGGTGGAGGTGGTGGACGTGAATGACAATGCACCGGAGCTGGTGGTCAGTTCCTTCAGCAGCCCCCTCCCCGAGAATGCATTACCTGGGACAGTGGTCGCCCTCTTTACTGTCAGGGACCGGGATGCCGGTGCCAACGGGAAGATCTCCTGTGCCCTTGAGGACCAGCTATTGTTCTCCCTGCGGCTGGCCTATAAGAATTACTACGAGCTGGTGACCGTGAGCGCTCTGGACCGGGAGGAGACGGCTCGGTACATCCTCACTGTCACGGCTGCAGACGCAGGGTCACCTCCTCTCACAACGACCCAGACCTTCACGGTGGACGTCTCCGATGTCAACGACAATGCACCTGTCTTCAACCAGACATCGTACACCATGTACGTGCGTGAGAACAATGTCCCCACGGCGCTCGTTGGAGCCGTCAGCGCCTCGGATGCTGATGTGGGGCCCAATGCCAAGGTGACCTATTTCCTGGCCCCAGCCCACTCCGCAGAGCGGCCTCCCTGCTCCTGCATCTCTGTGAACTCTGAGAACGGGCACGTGTTTGTGCTGCGGCCTCTGGACTATGAGCAGGTGAGGCAGATCGAGGTCTTGGTGAGCGCCTCCGATGCGGGGTCACCTCCCCTCAGGGCCAACGTCACTGTCCGCCTTGTCGTGGTGGACGAGAACGACAATGCGCCGCTGGTGCTGCACCCCGCGCAGGACAGCAGCCCACCCTCCAGCGAGCTGGTGCCCATGTCGGCTGAGGCGGGGTACCTCGTCACCAAAGTGGTGGCCGTCGACGCCGACTCGGGGCAGAACTCATGGCTCTCGTACCACCTGCTGAGGGCCACCGACCCCGGGCTCTTTGCGGTGGGTGCCCAAAGCGGGGAGGTGCGGCTGAGGAGGCCAGTGACGGAGAGAGACGCCGTGAAGCAGAAGCTCGTCGTCCTGGTGCGAGACAACGGGCGGCCACCGCTGTCGGCCACCGCGGCGCTGAGCGCACTCCTGCTCAATGACTTCTCAGATGTGCGCCTACGGCACAGCAGCCTGGCCACGGAGGACGAGGGCGGCTCCCTGACAACCTATTTAATCATTTCACTGGTCTTCATCTCGCTCCTCTTCCTCGCGTCCACAGCAGCCTTCATCGC